CATCAAAATGCGGAAGTGATTCAAATACCAAAACGGATCGAAAGGTTTGATCCATTCATTCATTTTAACCACAATTATTGTCTTATCTTTTGAACACTTTCTATTGGACACAAACCAGAGGTCCGACAGATATATTGAAGGCTTTGGCAGAAGTGACCGGAAAGGTTTGCCCACCATTTGGACTCACTTTTTGGATTGTTTGCTAATTTAATGGTTATTTAATGTTGATTTGTACAGGACTTTAGTGGACCCGACTATCGATACATCGATGACCCGTTTTTGACACCACTAAGCAATCACCAAAAAGTATTGCCATTTGATTAGCACTTAATTATAGGCCAATAACATAATGACTGCTCTAAAAATTGTTTAGCGATTGTTTTCGTTATCGCGAGAGTCGGGCCGAAGAGCGGCTAACTATGTGTTCGAAGAGTTTCCCGAACTCTTCTATCGAGATGTGTCGGAACCGAAGGTCGAGGCCTTCACTTACAAAGAGGTTTACGACGAGAGCACAGAAGTGGACGAAACGGATCTCAAGAAATGCATTGCGCGTAAAGAAGTGAAGCATTCAATCACTTGCTATAAGAATATGACGACCGCTGAGAAGACAATTAGCGCCGAAACGCTTCAGAAATTGTTAGAATTGGTCTCGTTTTACAATTGCGAAGAACCGCCGGATTTGGAGTTTATTGTGGAGAAGGCGTTCAATAACGACACCACAACTCCTCGTGTCCTTTGGAAAGACAACGGATTTGCGGAACAATTGTTTGAATCGATGGATGAGAAGACGAGTGAAATATATTGCGCTTTAATCCAAGGATTAGCCAAACATTCAGCGCCGCAGAAGGCGTACCAATGCTATCAGGAAATGATTGAAAAGGGTTTCAAATTAAATACAGAAACCTTTAATAGTATCCTAAGAGTGACTCCATTGTTGAGAGAGTCGACTGAAACGCGTTGGCTGTTCATCGAAGAAGTGCTTAACTCAATGAAAGCCAATGCAATTAAACCCAATTTGCAAACATTGAACAGCATTTTAGAAGTGGTCACTCGATTCGGATCCACGAGATATGCCCAGAATTTAGCCAAAAAGACTTTGGTTGAAATGATTACTATATTAGGAATAGAGCCATCGCTGGCCACGTATTATCATTTATTAAACATATTCGACAGAGACAAGAGTCCTAACCGTCACATCTTATATGATATTATGGATAGAATTGAAAACAAAAAGTTCATCATTCAAGACACCAAAGATGGTATTATTGATATTCACACAGTATTTCTAATGCAAAGCAATTTTTATTTAATAAAACTTTGATTTGCAGTGAATTTCTTTACGCGGGCTATGAATGTCTGTCAGTATAAGTTGATGGATATATCACTCGCTTATAGAGTGCATGATTTGGTTTCCAATGGAAATAATGCAAAATTGTTGGGAAATATATTGAGTGAATCCAACTATCAGTGAGTTAACATTGGTTTACATAGATATTCGCACTGCCATCGCATTTAATTCTTTGTGTAATTTTAGTCAAATGCTATTCCGATTGCTCTCGACTTCAGAAGACATTAAAGTTTTTATGCAATACTACGAGAAATATGTGCCTAACGTTTACATACCAGAGCCCCTCGTCTTCGGCGACATATTCCGAATGATTGAACTTTTCGATGCTTTTGATTATTTGCCCACAATTTGGGAAGACTTAAAACGGTTTGAATACATCTCACAAATTAAACTCATGGAAGACTACTTCTATCTCATCTCTAAACCGGTGGCCGACACACAGATTCAAGAGCGACACAAACACATGGGTTTGTAATCAACTCTTTGATCGTCCGTTTGTTTTAATAATTTATTGGTTTTATTCATTTAGTGATTGAAGGCTTGCAAATAATTAAGGATCGCGTCGAGAATCAAGAGAAACACGACCACGTGGTGATCAATTAGTGAGTTCTTGTAATTGACAATTGACGGCACATTAATTCATGTTTTATGACTAAATGTATGTAAAGCCCGACCGGTGTTCTGCTGGGATTTGCCATTGATATCTGTTTGAACGCCAACGATGTCGACAATGCCATCATTATTATGCAAAATATGATTAAAGACGGCCAAAAGATCACTGGAAATGCGAGGTTTAATTCTTGTTCAACCATTTCATAAATTGTAACTAAAAGTTAACTGTTTTTTCAGTCCAAATACATTGAGTCGATTATGTATTAACGCAATCGACTCCAAGAAGTATTCCTCCGCCAAACAGTGTATTGAGTTTTGCGTTGAATTAGCGATGAGTGAAGCCGTTTCTGATATCCGACAACACGTCCAACAATCAGATTTGGACCCAAAGATTAAGTTAGTCTTCAACTCATGCCTTATATGTATTAAACCACTAATTATTGTGATATAAAAACAGGGCGTTGTTAGAGGAGACGTGCGGTCCTGAAGTGATCATCGAAGTAGACATCGAAGACGCCTTCAGAGACGCCTTTAAAGAACCGGAACCGATGGATGAGAACAATAAACAATAATATTTAGTCAGAAATCATTTTAAATACAAAAAAATAAATTTAAATTTTGTCTTTTATATAAATTTGTTAGCAATTCATTGCCAATAAAGTCATAAAATGTTAGTTTCAAACAAATAAAACTTCTTTTTCAATGTATTTCTCATAGCATTTATGAATGCATTGATTATTACGTAATAAACAGTTGTTTACAAAACACAACAGACTTTGACTTAATTTATGGGTGTTTTCAATGAGAGACTCACTTATCGTTTTTTTTCAATGTATTTCTCATAGCATTTATGAATGCATTGATTATTACGTAATAAACAGTTGTTTACAAAACACAACAGACTTTGACTTAATTTATGGGTGTTTTCAATGAGAGACTCACTTATCGTTTCATTCGTTGAGTTTTAAATTGAATTCAATTGTGTTTTTTGGACATCAATTGTGACAACAATTCAATGATTTTGTCTTTCATTTCAAAACACATTTAAAGAGATTTGAATACAAAAACCAAACGTCAACTCAAATGGAGGTAAACATTGATTTGATTTGATTTCGTAAAGTGTTTGCAATGTTTTTGCTTTGTTATTGTCTGGAAGTCGTCGACCAATCGGTTCGCAGACCCGGAGGACGAGCCCATCGACGGCACGGATGTGACACAACTGATGGCCAACTGTGAGAAATGGTCGCTCAAGAATGACTTGGAGGTAGACATTGGATGCGATAATCATGTGATGAAAATGACATTACATTATCTTTATTTGACAGCTTTTATCGCATTTAAAACAATTGAGTAATCATTTTGTGACCAAAACTGAAGCCACGAATCAGTCAATCAATTCTCTAGTCTTTGAAGCAAAGGTTTGTCCGATTGAGTGGCCGTTCAATAGATTGAGTGCTGAGTTGTGTCTTGTTTTTGATCCATCAGATGAATGGCGTGAAAGTGGATAACGTTATCAATGAGTTGCAAATGTTAGCCAACAGTCAGTTCGTCGAGAATAGGGTTTACGACGAAGAGATGGACGACATTATGCCTAATGAGGCGAATGGACGCCAAAGTGTGGAAATGGTGGCCACGAAGAGCAAAGAGGAGGACATTTTGCCCAAAATTAAGAGCGCGTTAAACATTGGTTTAGAGTTTTTAGGCCAACGGTTTGATTGTGTCTCAAAACAAGTGCCACAAAACGATTCCGACGATGAAAACGATCAAATAGTCGAAGGACTCATCTCTGACACCACTAGAGATGAATACTCGCAGAGACTTCTCCCGTATATCATTGGCAGCGAAGACTTTATTAATGATAATAACGTAGGACTGAGTCGTGCCTACGAGACGGCAAACACTGATCTCAAGATTGAACCCGAAAACGACACCTTAAGTGTTGACTCAGATGTGGAAGCGTTTGACTTCCAGAACGCTATTCCCGACAAAAATATTTTTAATGATCACATGAGTGACAGCGACGACGACTCGAAAGACATTTTTGGTTCCGTTCCGACTGTTCCCGCCATTCCTCCTAAGAGTGTGACAAATAATGAAAGGGACGCTTCGAGTGATGAAAGCGATTTCGATACGTTTACCACAGAAGAGCACAATGAAGATATGAAAGCAACTAAAGAAGACACAAATAAACGAGTTGTGCCATCATTTCAGGACGAATTATCGGCCGCTATCTCTGCCAAGAATCCATTCAAAGAGTCGAAACACACAAATGATGACAATCCTGTCACTGAACCACAGCTTAAGACTGATTTATTTGCAAATGAAAAACCAATTCAAACACCAATTAGTTTAGAATCCGAAAGCAGTGACGAAAGCGACTCTATATTTAGAGTGACTAAAAATAAACCTAAAATACAAACCAAACAAAAGTCTAATTTTGACGGTTTGTTTGGCAATCAAACGAAAGACAACTCATTATTTGGCCAAAAACCTGAAAAACCGTTAATTAATAATAAAATCAAAGTATTGCCAACCATTGGGACCGAAAGAGTGGCCACAAATAATTCAAGTCTTTTTGATGATGAAGACGACGACGACGGCGATGACCTCTTCAGTGCTGTCGTACATAAAAAACCAAATATTGAATCCGTAGTCAATAAAAAGGATACAAATTCTGGTATTTTAGACAAAAAGAAAGTCCCGATTAGTAAAAAGCCAGTCATTGAGAAGAGGTCTCTGTTTTCTGATGATGATAATGAAGAAGACATCGACGACCTCTTTATTACTGCCGCCGATAGCACTGAATCTGTGAGCGAAGACAATGAGAAGACAAATGTGTTTAACAAACGAATTGAAAAATCAATTGTTGAGAAAAAATCATTATTTTCTGACGACGACGACGAGGATGGAGACGATCTGTTCGTTGGCGCCATTAATAAGAAGATTGTCTCTTCAACTTCTACTCAGAATAATACGTTCGGCAATGAGAAGCAAAATGTTGATAGAAAACCACTTTTTGATGACGAAGACATCGATGACCTCTTTATTAGTGCCAACGAAAAGAAGTTAATCACTGAAAACATTGTTAAAGAGAGTGAAAGCCCT